CGTCCAAAAAAACTTTACACTGAACATCCTCTACCCCAAAGCTCACTTCAAAGACCCCACTGAACATCCTTTTTTGATCCCTTCCTTGATTTAAATTGATTTGAGGAATCCTACTTTTGACCTTTTTTCACACATATTTTGCTTTGATAGATGGACAAAGAACTTCTTATTACAGTGGTCGATGTTGCAACTACAGCAACTGCATTGACATTGACCATTCTACAAGAATGGATGGACTTCGTGGATAGGGAGCCATCTGTCAATCGGGACTTAGAAAGACAAAATTTATTGGATCGACTATATAGGGGAAGACTAGTTGATTGTTATAATCAATTGAGAATGGGGAAGGAATCATTCTATAGGCTTTGCAAAATTCTCCGAGAAACTAGCCGACTGAATGACACGTTACGAAGTACCGTGGAGGAACAAGTTGCTAGATTCCTACACATATTAACAAACAATGTTAGGAATAGAACGATGGGATTTCATTTCAGAAGGTCTGGAGAAACTGTGAGTCGTTACTTCAACTTGGTACTAGATGCAGTTTTAAGTCTAGAAGATAAGTATATAATCCAACCAAATGGTGCAGTAGTACCTCCTGAGATTAGAAACCGAGCTGACTTTTGGGCATACTTTAAGGTAATAAACACATCAAAGTTTACATACATATGAACTATCTACACTATTATTTAGGCATTAAAAATTAAAATACACTATCAAAATGAAATGCTTCGCAGGATTGTGTTGGGGCAATTGACGACACACATATAGTTGTAAAGGTTCCTGCTGCAGATGTAGCTCGATTTCGTGACCGTAAAGGTTACCCGACACAAATTATTCTTGTTGCATGTTCATTCGACCTTTGTTTCACGTATGTATTACCTGGATGGAAATGTGCTACATCAGATTCCCGCATGTTAACTAATGCACTAGCGAGAGAACATAAACTATATGTTCCTGCAGGTATTAATACAAAGTCATGTAGGTCATATGGATGTTGCACAAGTAGATGTGGAGGTTTGTTTCTAATCTTGTTCTTTATATATTTAATTAGGTAAATATTATCTTGTGGATGTTGGGTTTGCTTTAAAGACTGGATTTTTAACGTTGTATCGTAGCACAAGATACCATCTGAAGGAATGGGGAACACATCAACCCAAGAATCCAAAAGAATTATTCAACCTCCATCATGCATCACTTAGGAATGCAGTTGAATGAATCTTCGATGTCCTTAAAAATGTTTCCCGGTTTTGGTTTCTGAACAACATTACCCATTCAAAACTCAAGTGAAGATAGTATCTGCTTGTTGCATATTACATAACCATGTCATGGGAGTGAATCCATATGATCGGATCATGTCTGAGTATGACCAGGATGGAGGATATGCAAACTTGGATGCAAATGATGGAGATGAGTCGGATGATGGGATGGATAACCAAACAACAAAACCTTCCCAACACATTAGTAAAAATGAGCAGTCTAGAGAAGGGAACCGACTCAAGGAGGAGATAGCTAACCAAATGTGAGCACCAAGTGTCTCGGTCTAGGCACCGAAATTAATTTTAGTTGTTTGTTTTTATTATATGGGATCTTGCTCTGAACTTGTATTTTTAACTATACTCTACTCTTGTACRGATTTTAAACATTTTAATATTCAGCATATGTGTCGGTGGATTTAGTAGCTTATGTTATTGAATTTGTTATGTGTATCGTATTTGGTACCATGCATGTAATTGTGTGAAAGCGTGTCATGTTGTATTACATGTATGAAATGACTAATTGCACTATGATTTCTTTATTTGAACCAGCAATGGACTCTGCACCTACTCAAGATGATACTAGGTCGGCCAAGCCTAACATGTCATTACAAACAGACATGGACAACCTATTAATAGAGACCCTCGTTGAGCAAGCACACCTTGGAAACAAAGTTGACAAAAGTTTTAAGGCTCCAGCATATAATGCCGCTGCTAGGGCTATAAGCTTGACATTTGGGGTGGACTGCACCTATAACAACATTTGAAACCGATTGAAACCAAAACAATATGTCCACCCCAAACTTAGGTCGGACTGCACCTATAACAATATGTCCTTAAAAATTGTCCTAAACTCAAGTGGTTTCTCATAGAATGACCTTACGAAGACAATAGATGCAGAACCTAAAGTATGGGCTGAATACATCCTGGTAAGATTGATTTAGTATTGTTTGTGTATAAATCTTGGCATTTTTTTATTGTAATGTAATGATGCCTAAGGCAAAACAGTTTAGAAAGAAGTCAATCCATAACTATGACCAACTTGCAATAGTCTATGATAATGATCAAGTAACTGGGACTGGAGCTTTTACTGCTAGGGAGGCACTTAGACGGGAGGCAACCTCAATGACTCCAAATAACACACAGACAATGCAGAAACCAGTTATTGAGGAGTTAGATGAGGGGGACAATGCCGGTGACTCTAACCTACAGGCTAGGCCACCAGAAGAGGGTAGCTCTATTAAAGGAAGAAGCTCGTTGGGGAAAAGAAAGTCATATGCTAGCATTGTTTCTGATGAAGTGCAGACAATTGCCCGTAGCATTTCATCGCTAGCAAATGCAATTGAGAAGAGCATCTCTCTCTTGAAGGACCAAATTTTTGAGGATGTATATAGCCATGGGGATGACAACCCGAAATTCCTCATTAAGGCAATAAACTTCTTATCTCAGTCTGAGAATAGAGCAATAGCATTTTATGCCCTTAGGCTTCAATTGAGGAAAGCATGACTGGATATGAAACTTGCATCTGAATACTAAATTGGATGTTGACTTCTCTTTAGACTTTGATAGACACTTGAACTAATTAGATATCCATTGCATTATTTTGTTAGAGACTTTTATTGGGGTGCATTGGATATTTGCTTTGAGATATTGTATGAACATATACACAATAATTGATAAGCTATATAAACTTTTTTTTTGTGACTTATTATTCACAAGTTGTGAATGTATGATATGGGTCACAAATTAATTTGCAAGAGTTTGGTGAAACCAAACATCTTGCAACTTGATTGATTGATGGGTGATACAATTGCAACTTTAGATGCATTAGATTTAATCCATTGCAATTTGTGACTGTACCATTTCTCTTTATATGGTGGTGCTTGGTTGTAAATGTATGATATGAGTCACAAGTTAATTAAACCAAACATCTTACAACTTGATTAATTGATGGATGATATAATTGCAAGTTTAGATGCATTGGATTTAACCCACTGCAATTTGTGACTATGATTTTTCTCTTTATATGGTGGTGCTTGGTTGTAAATGTAAGATATGGATCACGGGTTATTTAGCAAGTGTTTGGCGATATATTGTGTTGGATTTAGTACCATTGATGATATATTTGCAGGTTTGATGAGATGTATATTTACATCTGTATAGGTACTCATATGGCAAAATATTACGTTGTGTTCAAAGGCCATCGGCCAAGAATATTTCACGTGGACAGAGTATAATACCCAAGTGCATAGGTTTAACGGAGCAATTTTTTGCTCCTATAGCACTTACAAAGAGGCAATATTCCAATTGCAGCAATACTAGTGCAATATGTATTCAATACCTCAAAACTCCACAGTTGGGAACACTTCTAGGATCCATGCAAAGGATATTGGCACGAAGGTGAAGGCACCAAAAGAGGACCATCGCAATAGATGGTCATTCTTGTGTTGGTCATTAGTTTGGTGGTCATGTCAATCTTATACTTGCTTAAATGATGGTTGCAAATATTTGGTTATTAATCTTGTGATGTGAAATTGAAGAATGTATGAATTTGTCAAACTGGGATGGATCCAACAATCCTGTAAAATTTTCTCAGCAATCAAACACTAGGACGCAGATTTAGCAGGATATCTGGTCTCATCAAACAAACAGGTGACAGGATTGAGAAAAAAACAATTTCCCTTCTCATCACATCCTTTCTCATCCCATCCCATCCCATCCCATCCTTTCCCAGCAACCAAACAGACCATTAAGGAGATTGGTGGCAGAACCAAACCTACAAAAATGTTTCTCCAACTAGAGTTTGGGGCATCAATGGAGATTCATTCAAACCAGACTATGCTACAAAAAAGGCTAAAAACAGAAATGGGAAAATGTGATTGAATGGAGAGAGGAATTTGGGGAAAGAATATAAATGGAACCTTCTCACCTTCAAAGTAAGGAGGTTCAAAAGCAACATCATCTTACAAACAAGATAAAGCCAATGGAGCATGCTCAAATTGAGTTGGAGAAATGCCTTAAGTCCAAAGATTTAACCCCCAGATTGAGAGAAAAAGTAGTATATTTGTTGATTTAGAGAGAGATCAACTATATTTGTTGATTTAGAGAGTCATAACATCTCTAAAGAGGTAAAATCTATTGTAGCAAGACTGAGGGCACACTTCGACATTTTGTTTAGAGGCAATTTTGAGTGATGCTTATGGGTTGGTCTGGGCCTACAAACTTACATATAAATTATATGTTATATACAATATAATACATGCATACATGAATTCACACACATACACACACACACTTGGACTGGGCTGGGATAAGAATGATCACCCTAGTCAATTGACCCAATTTCCTGTATCATTCACTCTAAACTTGGTGCGCATGCTTAGTGATCTAGGTCATTGAGTATGTGATAAACATATTTTATTGAAGTGAACATATCAATTTTAATTTGGCAATTCCTCCATATGATGAATTTAACTTTTACATTTACCATTAAGACTGCCGAAAAGCACAAGACTCAATTGGACAGTTAAGTTTAATCAAAAGATCTTTTATCTGTCATGAAACTTGAGAGTTCTAATGTTTTATAGCTCAGCAAATCCTTATCCTAAACGTATGTGTTCGGTTAATTAAATTAAACAATTTCTGATCTATTTCATGGATCATGATAGGCTATTGCATTCTTATTTGTTATAGAATTTTAGAGAGACATGTATATTTCTCCTAATATGTCCTTGGTTCACCGCAGATGTTCAAAGCTTCTCTGTAATAACCAGGAAATAGGATTGACAACGAATCTGTCTTACATTTTAATATACCATCTTTCTTCCTTCCTTTGTAGAGATATAAAGTTCAACAACTAATGAAGGAACCAGATGGAAGTTACCCAAACTTTTGCCATAACTTAAAGAAAGTTTACATCAGACAAGATGGAAACTATAGGAGGCATGCAGTCCAAAGTCTATCTCTTGCTGTACTCCAAGGTGAATGCTTTGGTATGCTTGGCCCTAGTGGTTCTGGAAAGACAATACGGTCAGTACCTCCATGTTTATCAGAGTTCAATAAGAGAAGAGATAATTTCCCATTGTTACCTGCGGATAGAAGGCTTCCATCTTGGAACATGTCCCATGGAGGATATCCATGATCTCTGCTTGAGTCTTGTTTGTACCAAGATAGTACAATGCTTCTACTATGAACTGTTCACACAAGCTGCAGAGTGATGCCTGTGCTGTGAACTGTTCATTCCTTGGAACTAGATGAGGTGGTTGAAATTTATCTTTGAGCTCCTGGTATATCTTCTTGACTAAAATCATGAAAACAGAACTATCACTCCTTTTTCAAAACGAAAGGCAGATTCAGCTATACAAGTCTCTAAATGGTTGCAGCTCAAAATCCACTATCAGTAAATTTCTGGGATTATAGTTATTTTCTTCCCTATTTGTCAACATATCTTCTAAGACCAGCATGACCTGAGAACTGATATACTGATCTAGGTAAACTCAGCGCCTAATGGATGATTAGAAACTCTACCAAATGGATTAAAATTGATAATGTTAATAGGAAATTCCATCATTTGTCGTTTTCCTTGTCCAAGTGAATAAGATATGCACCTTGGATACAAGAGATCTAGCTTCTCTAATGTTTTAATGAAATGTCGCATCTGCCAGGGGAAAAACACAACATCTGCACAGAAGCATTTAAAACAGGGGAAAAACACAAGCACTGTATTGTGGTTTCCCATCAGAACATATTGACCTAGGAAAATACAATCCCACCCAATCTTTGTGTGCACATGAACATTTAAAATAGGGGAAAAAACACAAGCATCGTACCTTTGATGTAGTTCTCAGTAGATTTTTTATTGATGCAGAACAATAGAAAACCTTCTCTTCTCCTGTTCGAACGAACAAGGCTCGAAGATTTCTTTGTTAATCCCGCCCAATCAAAGGAAAAAGGGAAAGAAATCGTCCTCCTTCACAAGCAAACAACGAACAAGTTCAATGCTGGTTTGGAGTCGCACCATGCTTGTTTGCCCTAAATTTTCTTGTCAATCCCTCTCAGTTCTCCGTTTATATGCGAAAAAAACTTTCACTCTCATCGAAGTGGTGTCTTCTTTGTCAAAAGGTTATCTTGCAGAAGGCTGCGAACATTTTGTTTTGTCGAATATTCACACGGGAAGATTATTTTTGACTTCCCCGCGTGCCTTCTATGAGATTAGACCGGTTTAAATTTAGAACCGTCGTGCCTGACCGCCGCGCCAGATTCCAAATCGGGTTTAGGCGGAGGCCAGTCTAAACCGCCGCCTTTGCTCGGTTTTCTTGTAGTGCCAAAAGACCATCTAAATTGTAATTTGAAAAGCTATATGGAGGGTTGTTAGGTTGTAAGATTGAACGCCGAAACGAAACCAGCCATGGATCTTGCCAACTTGGACTCTTGGTGGGTGTTATTGTATTACTATTATATTAATTTTATTTTATAAAAATTATGACGTCTGCAAGTAAAGCATTCGCCACAAAATGAGAAAATTTGCGTTTGGGCCTTAGGTCTCCTTTCTTCCCATTATTTTATTTTTTTTTCTTTTATGGTTGCATGAGAAACAAGAGGTTAATTGTTTTGACTTTTGATGGATTCATAATTGAAGCCACCTCAACCCCAACTTCAGCAATTCTGACAAGCTTCCCTCCATGCTTAGGAAAGAAAGAAAAAAGAAAAAAAAAATTGTGAGAATTCATTAGGTAAGGTAGACACCCGAATGCGATACGCTTTATATTAGTAGGATTTAGATTACCCTATCATTGGATGAGTCGGATCTCGAATCTCGGATCAAGAACTACATTCTCTTTATTTATGTTGATCTTACTTAATTACTATAGGTTCAACTATCATATCATAAAAATTTACTACTAATCAACTGGGGTATTTCCGATTAAATTTTCTCGTATTTTTGAATTCGATTATGATATGGAAAAGATATGATATGGGTTTTGATTGATCAAAATTCTTTTCAGAAAAAAAAAGTAGAAAAAGAAAAGGAAAAGTAGGGGTTTCCTTACCTTTACCTACTTATATTCCTTCAAACGAAATATAGTATTACTATTTTGATAAAAAAATCTATGATAATGAAATACTCATCACCTTTGGGTGCCTCGCTGGTTTCTGACCTTTAAGTAGGGGTGCTCATGGTACCGTGGGCTTATTTTTGAAGTTGAACTGAAGCCGATTGATTAACTGGTTGATCGGTTCAGTTAACCATTGGTTTGGTTTATCGATTCATCTATTTTTTATTATTTATAATATATATTATAAAAAATATATAAATATATAATAAAACATTATATATATATATATAAAATATTACATTTTAAATAATAAATAATATATTATATATTATAAATATATATTTATATATAATACACATTTATTAATTTATAACGTATAAAATATATATAATATACATAAATATACATAAAATATATATATATATAAATATATGTATATTGGTCGGTTCGATTAATTGCCAATTTTCTATTTTGGTTAACTGAAACCAAACTTACCTTTAATTTTTTAGGGAAAATTACCGATTAGTACCTTGTACTTTGGGCCTAGTGCCACTTTGATCCTAGAACTTTAAAATGCGTCAATTCAATACTTGAACTTTTAAAATGTGTCAATTCAATACCTATCATTAACCAATCCGTTAACTAGCCGTTAAATGACATTTGAAAAGACTTAAATGCCCTTTGAGTGTCATCTAATTTTCTTTATCAACCATCCACATGTTAATAAAAAATGAACAGTCTCAAATCTTTGCCTCTACTAATCAAGAAAGTTGGGGTCTATCTCAGTTGACATTTTGGTAATCTCAACTTTCTTAAAGAGGCAAGGATTTGGGACAATTCATTTTTTATCATCGTTTGGATGGTTGATAAAGAAAATTAGATGACACTTGAAAGGTATTTTTGTCTTTTCAAATAGCACTTAACAGCTGGTTAATAGCAAGTATTAGATTGACACGTTTTAAAAATTCGGACACTAAATTATCATATTTTAAGATTTGAAGACCAAAGTGGCATTAGACCCAAAATACAAGATACTAATCTGAAATTTTCCCAATTTTTTATAACACGGAACCAAAATCGACGGAACGGATTCAATTAACAGAATTTTCAGTTAAATTTCAATCGGTCTTTTTCTTATCGATTCAATTTTTGGTTTTTCCTGTTCACCCCTACGGCCCCACCTTTAAGCGCGCCCGCATATGTCTGCGGATGCGGAGCGAACCCGACCGTATCCCGAATTCTAGAGTTATAAATAACATCGTTGCTTTGTTTTTGTTTTTTCAGCAACATTGTCATTTTCTTTTGAACCAAGAAACAGCTTTATTAATGACATGTCCATAATGCTGCATGGGATCCTATTAATAAAAACTAAAATTAGATTGTTTGATTTATAAAAAATAATAACAATAAGGGAATACAGTCGGTATTTATTTAAAATCAGGAAAGGAATCAAGAAAATGGAACCTTTAAAATTTAAAAACGCCTAATATTAAACATTGATGGAGATGCACGTGAAAAGTGAAAATTTGTAGGGATAAGATCACGTGCAGCCGTAATATTGAGGCAATTGAAATTCTGAAATAAAGAAAGTCGGTTACGTATAAGTGGGTTCCACAAATTATGATGACGGGCATGTCATGTCTTCTTTCGGCGGGAGATCTCCGGTTCCCGTAGAGACTAGAGAGGATTACCCTATTTTATTTGCTTGCTCCTTTCGGGTGCAAGATAATACAACATTACAACCTGGCAACGTGTTTTTACAGGTTGGCTGCTGGTCCTGGATGCCTGCACTGCATCAGCCATCTCTCTCGTTGTTCAGTTCAACATACAAATCCCCAAACAGAAACATTAAATTATAATAATAAAACGAATGGTATAAATACCATAATATCCTCCTCCGATTTCGCCGTAATCCTTAAACCTCCCCTAGCCTAGTTGCTGATTCAAACGTTAGTCTCTACAAGTTTTTGACAATTTGTCTGAAATAACCCTGTGGTGAAAAGAACTAAAGATCCAACACATTCTCTAATATTTTTAATTTTCTTTTCAAATTGGGGGTAGTCTTGGATTTTTACATTGGTTCACGTGCGAAGACATGTGGACGGCAGGTTAACGACGGACAAGGGTGGTATTTTCCCAGCGACATCCAGCCGACGCCGACAGGGGATGTTTAAAATATTTAAAAACCTAAAACAATGTTTCCTACTAAACGACAAATTAAGCCTGACGTGGCAACAAAATACTGTCTACACTACTCACAATGAGATGTCCTCTCCTCTCAAAACGACGGAACCATCTCCGCGTTTCCTCTCTCCTCTATAAATACTTGCCACCCAGCTTTGGTTCTTCATCATTCGATCATTCCCGTCTCTGTCGCCTGAATTTTCCTCCTCCTGATACCCAATTCCCGACGTCTGTTTGTCTTGCTGAGGTCGATACGACGACAGATGGGCATTTGTAGCTCCTACCAGTCAGCGTCCGTCTCCACGGCGAAACTGATCCACCAAGACGGACAACTGCAAGAGTTTCCCTACCCTGTAAAGGTCTCTTACGTTCTGCAAATGAATCCCGCATGCTTTATCTGCAACTCCGATGAATTAGGATTCGACGACTTCGTATCGGCTATTAAAGATGACGAGGAACTTCAGCCCGGTCAGCTGTATTTTGCGCTTCCATTGAATAGATTAAAGTACCCCCTCCAGAGGGAGGAGATGGCTGCATTGGCTGTTAAGGCCAGTTTTGCTCTCATGAAGAGTAGCAGTGCAGATAAATGCAGATACCGACTAAAATGGGTGGTGCCGACGGTGTTTTCCGGCAAGAGGGAGGTTAAATCAATGTCGGAAGCGGATTCTGGTGGTGGTCCGGGTATGGTGGTGAGCAGGAGAAGAGGCGGTAGCTTCAGGTCAAAACTGAGTTCAATTCCAGAATAGACTGAATAGTTGTAGGGACAGCTGGAGTAAAAGTGGAATGATACTCAGATGGTCCTCCTGTAAATATAAGAAATTTTGGCCGTTTACTCTTCAGTTCAACGAAAAGAAAATAATGCTGCTGCCTGCCTGTGATTTCAAGGCATCCAGCGTTTACTACATAAATTCTCCTCTGTTCACGCTTCTGGGATATTTTATTTATGCAATTATATTTTTAATCCCGGGATGGATGCATAATAAGAGAATGAATTGAAAGGGAATTACAAAAGAATAATATCCCAATAAGCAAGATTGAGTTGCTTGGTTTTGGTTGATTATTCTGAAATTCGGAAGGTGGGAAATCAGGACATACAACGGGATATAACAAATTAAAAAGGAGGACAGATTACGAAGAGATAGATGATGATGGATGCGAATAATGACCATCAGATTATGGAGTATAAGGACAAAACACCCACCACAGCACCATTATGGGCTACTATATSTTGTTCTTCCGTCTAGGTTTATTGCAAGGACTTGAATCATGATTCTCATGAACTACTTAATGAGAAATGTCTTAACGGTCAAGAACAAGTATTGTTTTGTTGATGGTTCCGATACAGGATCACCACAAGAATCGTTTTGGGTTAAATGCAATTCGATGGTGATTTTTTGGATTTTCAATTCATTGGTGCGTGAACTCCTTGATAGTATTGTTTATGCAAAAATGGCTAGTGAAATCTGGAAAGATCTTGAAGAGAGGTTCTCACAGAAGAATGTGCCAAGAACCTACAAGCTCAAGAAAAGCCTTGCAACGTTACAACAAGGAAGTCTTTCAGTAGCAACCTACTTCACCAAATTGAAAGCCTTATGGGACGAGCTCCAAACTCTGGTTCATGTACCTGAATGCACTTGTGGAGTAGCTAAACAACTTGCGGCCATGCGAGAATACGAGAAGTTGCATCAGTTTTTCATGGGACTTGGTGATGTCTTCATCAATGTTATATCCAATATTCTTGGATCAGATCCCATGCTAAACATCAATAGGGCATACGCTCTAGCAATCTAGGAAGAAAAACACCTTGCCATCATCAACAAACCGACCAATGCAAATCTTGATGTCGAACCAACACTCTTTGCGAATTTTTCGAAGAACTGTTCAATGTCTAATACACGGACCAAGGCTAAGGTGAAATGTGAGCATTGCAAGAAACCTGGGCATACACAAGATCGCTGCTTTGAACTTGCTGGATATCCACCGAAATAGAACAAAGGTAAAACACAAGCACAGGGCGGAAAAGGAACAAAATCCACATTTGCTTCAGTCAGTGCACATAATGATGAAGCATCACCCATACAAGGATTAAACCTGGAACAATACAATTGGCTTATGGCTCTCATAACACTAGATAAAATCACAGCCAATACCTTCTAGTATGGCCCTCATTACTTTTCCCAACCAACCTTCTTGTATCTTGGATAGTAGAGCTTCAAATCATATGGTCTCTAATCTAAAACTCCTTACTGTTCACAATGTATTAGCCCAACCTAAGCCAGTTCTCTTGCCCAATGGAGTGGTTTTGCAAGCTACACATCAAGGGTCAGTTATGCTAACCCCCAATATTACTCATCATTAAGTTCTCCATATACTTGGTTTCCACTGCAATTTAATCTCTATTAACAAATTAGCTAGTCAACTGTGATGCGCCACCCTTTTCTTGCCAACTACTTGTTTGACTCAGGACCCAGTGTTGAAGAAAGTAATTGGCATGGTGAAACACTGAACGGAATCTACCACTTCACTGTTGACGCTCCATGTTCCTTTGCTTTGATTGCTCATAGTGAAGTTACTGTTGATACATGGCATAAGTGCTTGGGTCATGCTATTCAACATTCTCTTTCATTAGTTTCTAGAATCTCTACTCTTCCTATAGGATTTCCATGTGACACTTGTCATCGTGTAAAGCAATCGCGTATGCCATTTCCCATAAGCAACTCTCGAGCAACAAAACTATTTCATCTAGTTCATGTTGACATCTGGGGCGGTTATTCTACTCCTCATAGTAGCGCACAACATTTTCTCACCATAATAGATGACTTTTCTCGTAGCACTTATGTATTTGATGCATAGTAAAACTCAAGTTCTTTACTATTTTTCTCAGTTCTGAAATATGGTCAAAACACAATTTAATGTTATCTACGAATCATGAGGACGGATAATGGATTGGATTTTTTTTACATTCCATGAAAAGCTTCTTGTTACAATAAGGAATTGTTCATCAACATTCTTGCGTCGACACACCACAACAAAATGGCGTGATCGAACGCAAGCACAAACATTTTCTTGAGATAACTCGAGCACTTCGCTTCCAGGCAGACCTCCCTCTTTCCTTTTGGGGAGAGTGTGTGACTACATTGACATATTTGATCAATTATCTCCCAACTCAAGTACTCGGTGGCAAGACATCTTTCGAATTGTTGTTTAATCAACCACCGACATATGATCATATTTGCATATTCGGCTGCTTGGTCTATGCCTAAAATCACAACTGTACCCGCAACAAGTTTACTACTCATGCAATCAGAGGAGTATTTGTCGGATATCCATTTGGACAAAAGCCTTATAAAATCTTTGATTGGATTCCTGACAAATCTCCACCTCACATGATGTTGTCTTCTATGAAAATCATTTCCCATTCATACTGAATAAATAAACACATTTCACCAATTCGGGGCCGATTATACCATTACCACTTCTGACAACATTGATTGCTTTAACACTATGAGCAAACGGTTTGGCCTAGCCTGACTCAACCTAACTCAATCCAGCCCAATCTGATTCTTCCTAACCATGGCTTAGCTAACATAACTCACCCTCATCGACAACAAAAAACTTTGGCATACTTAAGGGATTATGATTGTCAATTCTCTAGGTACTCAACCAGCATCCTTCATCATGTGGACACCCCAATTAAGCCACACACATATAATCAAATAGTTCTTAATCCATAGTGGCAGCAATCTATGGATGATGAACTTTCAACATTCAATCAAAATAACACATGTACTCTTGTTGAACTTCTGTTAGGAAGTCGAGCCATTGGTGCACGATGGGTGTACAAAATCAAGTATCGAGCTAATGGAACAATTGAGTGTTATAAGGCAAGACTTGTGGCTAAGGAGTACACTCAGGTTAAGGGTTTGGACTTCCGTGACACATATGTACCAGTGCCCAAACTAGTTATAGTCTGGTGCCTTTTGTTAGTTGCTGCTAGTCAGGGATGGACTCTTCACCAACTCGATGTTAACAATGCTTTTCTGAATGGTGATCTCGATGAGGAAGTCTACATGGAAATCCTGCCAGGTYTTTCTACTCTAGGAGGCAACCGAGTGTGTAAACTAAAAARWTCCCTTTATGGTCTACTGCAAGCCTCTCAACAGTGGTTTGAAAAATTTTCAGACGCCCTCAAGCAGTATGGACTCACTCAGTCATTAAATGACTAGTCACTCTTCTTCTCCTCTAATTCAAGTTCATACATTGCTATCATTGTTTACGTCGATGATTTGATCATCATCGATAATAATCTTGATCAAATTGATGATCTAAAGTAATACCTGCACAAGTGTTTCTATCTCAAAGATTTGGGACCACTCACTTATTTCTTGGGGATGAAGGTTCAACGCTATTCATCTGGAATTTTTTTACATCAACGAAAATACCTACTTGACATACTACATGAAGCCAACATGACTGGTTGTTGCCCAACATCATTTCCAAAGGAGCAACAATCACAGTTTGACGAGCAGAGTTCCTTATTTCCGGATCTCWGGCGCTTCCATCGTTTCATTGGCCAATTAGTGTATTTAACCATCACACGACCAGAACTTTGTTACTCTGTTCATGCCCTCAATCAACATATGCAACACCCAACTCAAGTTCACATGACTGTAGCCTTACACATCCTCAGATATCTCTCTGGCTCTCCAGACAAATGCCTTTTCTTACATTCATCAAATGACTTCATTATTCGAGCCTATTGTGATGCTGACTGGGGCAGTTGTCCAATCACCCGATAATCCACGACAGGGTACGTAATCTTTGTTGGTAATTCACTATCTTTGAAGACAAAGAAACAGAACACTATAGCCCACTCATCAGCCAAGGTGGAATATCATGCAATGGCTTCCACCATTGCAGAGTTGCTCTGGCTCAAATGCCTCATTGTTGATCTCAATATTTCGGCCACCCACCCATTATTGCTTCATTGTGACAATCAAATGGCTTTTCATATAGCATCAAATCTGATTTTTCACGAACAGATGAAGCATATAGCAATTGATTGTCACTTTCTACGTGAACATATTCAAACCAAGACAATCAAAACTTCTCACATTTTARCAAAGGAGCAGCCAGTTGACTTGTTTACCAAAGCTTTAGAAGCTAATAGATCTCATTATCTACTTGACAAGTTAAACATTCAAACCAGGCYGGCAACCAAGAGATATTCAACACGTGTTCTTTCTCCTAAGACCTCATCGCATCTCTATTTATACATGTCATCATTCGACGAATTGTAAATGAATAAAACAGACTTTTTTCTTCACAACTTTTTTTTTCTTGTGCAAAACTGCAAACTATGCTCTGCCTTTATCCGTGAATTTTATACCGTTTTACAGAGATCCTGGGCCGGGGATCGCCACGCCAAACAATACGGCATAGAATAATCGGATATTAATTCCTCCGTCATAAGAGAATTCCAAATTTGAATCGTTAAAGGCCGGAGTACAAGAGGCTAGACTACAGGCAACAGCTGTCTAGGCACGAGACGACGCTGCAAGGAAATTAAATGGGGTTGTTTTAATTTGTGTAATTTGATTTTGATGGGATGGGACGTAGCCATTCTTGGTTGGAATTAAGATTGAATGATGATAGGGGTGAACGAATGGCACGATGGACCACTGAAGTTTTCCCCCAGCAGAGAAGAAAACTTTTGGCTAATTAGTGACAGAAAATGTTGTTGTCAACTCAACTGTCCAAAAATTCACCTTGCTCCCCATTTGAGTTAACTGCATGTTCAATTACTGCTCGAAGCTYGCGGGCTAATTTTTGAGTGGTGTTTTGTTACTATTTAACAACTTAATTTCTTTCCTCTTTTTCTTTTTTAATTTTCAACTTGCTTTGTTCCACGATGAAGAAGAATATAGCTTTAAAACACTTGGATGTTATTTGCAGAGTCAATATTCGTATCTCAAAGAGAATCTCCAGAGAAAGAGAGAGAGAGAGTGAATGCGTTGGTAGTCATCAAATGTATACACAGCACGAGTCCTTTTCCTCCCTGGTAAAATGGATAGGATTTTTTATAGGAAAACTGTAAAATTCATACGTCAACCCATTTGTCCTTATCATCCCTCGTACAACCATGGAAGAAAGAAGAAGAAAAGAGAAGATAAAAATATAATATATATATATATATATATATATATATATATATATATATATACAATCTATACCTTTTGCTCATTAAATGACACTAAAATTTATAAAAAAAAAATACAAGAATAAAATTTAAAAAATAAAAAAACTTTAACACATTTAAGTGCACTTAGAGAGGGAGGAGAAAATCATGGTCGAAGAATATATAACTGGTGAATTAATTCCAAATCTGCAAATAAGAATTATGTACATATAATAGCTACCGTATCTATGGACTGC